TGCAAGGTTCTTAAATAATGTTAAAATATTGTTGGATATTTAAAAAAATGTAGAAATCCAACAATATTTTAACATTATTATTATATTAATTTTGTAGATATTTTAATAGAAACCATTGTTGAGAATACTCTAAAAACTTAGAAATGGGTTCTAGATGAAGAGACTCATCTCTCTCGCATATTTTTATTATTTTTTAATTTTCTAGATATCTAATAAATTTTTTTCATTGGGGGTGTGCTCTTGGGTTGTTGCAAAAACAAAATTCAAAAAATATAGAGGGACGCTTGACATGGGTAGGTAGGTATTAGCGTGGCCGCTTATACTATTTTCCATTTATGTGCTCTTAGATGATCGAAACCGTAAGGAGGGTTTTAGGGAATTTAGAGGAGAGAGGAGTGTTTGAATCTGAATCAAGTCGTACTATATGTATTTATGTCATCTTATTCACCATATACATTGAACCCAATTTATTGCGATTTGTCCACTTTTGATATTTCTCAACGGCTAATTAATTAAAATATTAGTATTTTGTTTTGGATTAATGTTTTCTGTAACGCCTGAAAACTTGTCATTAATGGTAAACCAATGTCGAAAAATAATAACGTAAAAAACTTTAGAGAGAAATTGTGGGACATATCCTTAATTGAAATTAGTTGTTTTGTCAAGATGTCCGCGGATCAATTTGGCTTCTTTGCTACCGACCGGAATTTCGTTTATTTTTCAAACCGATCTTTCCAACGATGTATTTTATGAATTTAGTTATTTTAAAAATACTTAATCTTCGTTGATTTAATGGTTGAGGATTCACTCTATTAGTTGGGAACCAAGGTTTGAGTTATTCCACTGTCATTTAATCATAGTTAGCCACATATGATTACTTTTTTTTGTTTGTACGGAAAAACAAAAATAATCATACGTGGCAAAAATCCGAATTTTTATTAACTTTGAAAATTAGTCTGGCTATCAATATGGTAGTTTTTTCAATTAGAAAAAGAATTACCAGAAAAATACATTTCCAACCTTCGGACAAAATTCAAAGTTGAAAAGGAGGACATAATGGTGAAATTGTTTTCGAACAAAAACTTGAATATGTGTTATATTTGAAAATCACTTAAAAAAGTGTTTGCTGTTTTAAAATGTAAAGAGTGATGTTGAATTAAAAGTTCGTTTGTTCACTTCAGTGCTTGTTCTATAGTGTGAGGGTTATTTTTTTTATAGTGTAAGAGTTAGACTTGTTCCTTAGGCAAGTGGGAATCATAACATCCTTGCTTGTTTCTTATATTGCTTTTTCTATCGTTTTTCTCATAGGTTTCTATATATTTTTTTTTGTAAATGATTATTAGTTTGTTGAATTATAAACAAAAGAATATTATACTCCGCACTTGGGAACCCGAAAGAGTTCCAAACATTTGACTTTCCATTTGAGGTTGTCGACAAAACGAGCACATTCGGTGTCCAGGGATTATGTGATTAATCACGTAATCATCACTTAACGTCATTTCACAATCTATCCCAACTTTTTTTGTTCCTTTTTTCAAATGTATTGATCATTTACAAAATGTATTGATCACTTAACGTCATTTCACAATCTATCACAGTATTATGTGATTAATCACGTAATCATCACTTAACATTTTCAAATGTTAACTCATTATAGCCCTTAATCTCGAGACAACAAAAAAAGACCAAAATTTCAAGACGTATGCATTCATTCTCATTTGTAACTAAAGGTGTTGGATCGTGAATGACATATTCATGGGTCATTGTATGGACATGTTTATAATGTNATTTATGTGATTAAGTGTGAATGAGAAATGTGGTTTTGGGGTTCATACGGTTTGATGATCAAATCGGTTTGTGGATTCGGACTCGGTTTGGTAGAGTCGATTTAATGGCTTGGTTAAGTGGATAAGAAGATAGACAAAGNTCTTCTCNTCCTCGTATCTTGCCAACGCCTCCACATCCTCCATAAATCTCGGCAAATCCCACTTCCTTTCTCCACTAATTCAATATCATCTCAACGTCAAGGGAGAGNTTTGCGTCAANTTCTCCTAACGTGATGAGAGATATGTGGAAGTCACAACCGCTTCTCCTTTGCTATAAAAACAGAGCATGAGTCTCGTTATCAAAAAGGCAATTCGATCACAACTCTCTCTCACTCATCTTTTCTCTGTTTTCTTCATTTACAAAGTAAGTATTAACTAGTCGAGAGTATATC